GGGGGAGACGACGACGGGGTTGGCGAGCTTGGATTTGGGGGAGAGGAGGAAAAAGGGGGAGAGGGAGCGGGTGGAGAAGGTGAGGAGAGAGGAGGCGTTTTGGACGGTGTTGGGGGTGGGGAGGATCGTGGGGTTGTAGGGAACTCGGGGGTATGAGAGTGGTTGTCCGAGGGCAAGCCGTGACTTCGCCGTTCCGATAGCTCAAGGAATTTCTGGTAGATGTGTCGATCACGCACACCAGACCAAATGAAGCGATTACACAGTTGAATTCGAATGCATTGGAACGGTACCGCAGTGCCATCTACTGGTTACAGAGATTACTCCCATACACTCCCCTGCCACGATTGCACATTCCTTCCATTCCATCCATCCAGGGACTCAAACAGCAGATACCAGTACCATTCTCACTCAATACACCACCGATTCCAACATCCGTGCCCATCGCCTCCCGCCATTTCAGAAAAAAACAGTGCGGTCGACGCAATCGGCGCACGCTGTGATGTATTCGCACACGAAAATAAAGTTTCCCCATGACCCATGAGATTTCCCACATGAAACGCCGATCCGGACATGAATGAACGAGAAACACCGGTTGGGATCCTCCGGTTGAGAGAGCAAGAGACAGACCGACCGACATTGCAGCGCCCACATGAATTGACGGCTTGTGTCGTCCGCCGACTTTTACAGACATCTGTTTCGTCGACTCTGCTCCCCGGGGTCCCAACATCCACATTTTGGTATCATAAGAGCGGCCGCAAGGGCACGACCGATATCGAACACGTCGCCGCTCACGGGTCGAAAATAGTCCAGTCCGGCCTGGAGGGTGTGGAAAGAAATCGAATCGAAAGAAAAGATGCGCCCCGGATGTACGTTCCGTCGTGCCAGTGAAGCTTAGTATTTCCGGATCAACAACAAACAGCACTGCTGAGATCATGGGTACGGGATCCAGATCATCGGTCGGGAGCGGAATTCAAACCGGCAAATCGTCCATGACACTTCGGATTCGTAGCCAAACACTCAGCAACGGCATAAATATGTGTCGTCCAGTTGACTTCCCCTGGTGGATCCTCCACCTCTTTTAACCTCCCCACAAGCAGTTCAAGAAAAACCCAACCCGGAAAACAAGAAACAAGCGGAATGATTACTCGATCCCTATAATAAGATCAAGTAATTACTCGGCGCAATCCCCGTCTCCCCGGTCTCCTTCTTTGCCTGCCACCATCGTCCGCTCACATCGCTGACTTCCAGGATGTCGTTCTTGCTGAAGCTGATCTCGTTCGCGTCATCCGGGTTCGCCTCGTAGCTGTAGATGGCCTTCGCGCGGTACGGGTACTCGGTCGGTGCCGTGACCTCGTTGCCGTCGGGGCCGGTCATCGTGCCATTTACTCCACCGCCCAGGCCGGACGCACCGCCGAATCGCGCGGCCGTGCTGTTGCGGTTGTCGGAGTTGGCGCCGACCGGGCCACCAGCGTAGCCAGAGACGGGGGAGGAGGTCTCGAAGCCGTTGAGTTGCGCGGAGGTGTACATTTGCGGCAGGGGAGGTTGCGCGGTGATGGAGGTTTCAGGGCGCGTCTTGTATCCGGTGGACATGCCGCGGGAGGTACGCATGGACGGGCGGTCGACGGGGGTCTTGTGGAGGGCATGGGAGTCAACCCAGGCGTGGAGGCTAGCAGACGGGTGGGAGCCGAAGTAGAACATCCAGATGACCTGTGAGATAGGTTAGTGATGAAGGTCTGGGTGTGGGTCGTAGTAGGGACTAGGTGAAAGGCTACGGGGAACATGGAGACGTACTGCAACCATACTAAGCACCATGAAGCCAGCAGCGGAAGCGGCTTTGGCTCCATTGCTAGAATAGACAAGGGAGGAGATAGAGGAGGTATCGAAAACAAGAGCGGCACCAAGGAAGCCGACGACCTAAACAGCGTTAGTATGTGTTGCATCGGAAAGTTTGGGACCGAGCGGTCAAACGTACCGCGACAGAGTAATCCATTTCTGTCTCCGTCCCGACCATGATTGTGATGCCAATAATCAGGACCAAGTTGAAGGACAGCGACCACCAGGTGTAGTTGGGGATCTCATGATCCGCTTTGCTTCGGTCGGCGACGGCGACAATGGAGCCGATGAGGGAGATAATCCATGCGAGCTGTTGATTGAAGACTTGTCAACAAACGTCCTTTATAACAGATACTTTGTCGCACGCAAGGTGCACCGTGTCATGAGAACAAACTTACCACTGAGATGGAAATCGTGTACAAAGCGAACGGATCGCCAACGATATATCCAATCCTGAACCCACGGCCTCGTGGGCTGTGATCACCGTATCCTCGTTCCATTTTGCGCAACGATGGGGATTGAAGTGCGCCGTAAGGTGGCATCAATGGGTGGAGTTGAAGGGACGTTTAATTCCTATCGGTTGAGGAAGAAAGGGAAGATCAAGGGAGTAAACGATGTTGTAGTGGATGGATGGTGACACGACGTTCTTTTACCGAATCTCGAGGATGTGTCGGTCAGCTGGTCGATAGGGCCGGCTAGGTTATTCGATGTAGGCGGATGAATAAACTAGCAATGCATGCGATCCAGTTGGGTTCGATATCCAAATTGGTTCGTGTATATACTTCGTTATCAGGCGATGAGTTGTCGTGGCCGTTCGTCGCGTCGACTGTTGCGTTCCAAACGACAACAAACCAAGATCAGGCGGAATGGATTGGAAACCAGAAGGGACCAAGCGAAGAGAAGTGAAGCGTCGACCAACGATAGACTCGAGTCTTGGACGAAGCGCGACGACCACAGGCGTTTATCGAAGGGGGAGCCGGACCGAATCAATGGGATGGTTGGTAGACCGGACGCAAGGCGGAGAACGGGGATATGGGGTGGATGGGTTAAAGAAAGCAAAGGACGTCAATGGAATACAGAAAAAAGCGCCCGACGGGATGGACGATGGATGATGGAAGAAGGATGGAAGAGAATTGGGCGGATCGACTGGACGGATCGACCTGAACGGGGGATGCGATGCAGGTGGTTGCAACGGTATGGAATGCTGGGGATGAAAGGAATTAGGAAATGGGTGGACGGTGAGGGATGGATTGGAGGAGAGGAGAGGCTAGAGAGGAGTTGTAGAACGGGAGAGTGCAGCGTGAGTGCAGAGTGAGTGAAGAGCTACAAGGTAGAGTGTACTATGTGGTAATGTGGTAAGCTGAGGCTGAGCGTAGAGTGGATTAGCGCAGAGTGTCGTATCGTATCGAGGGTAACCTAGAGTTCTCGAGTTCTCGAGTTCTCGAGTTCTCTTCTGTTGCTGGGAGAAGGACTAGAGACTGAGGAGGCGCCGGAATTGAGGCAGGGAAGCAGCGGCAGGGTCTTCCGTTAATATTTAACGGTTAATAGCCCCCCAACGCAGGAACCTGGACAACCAACAAAACTTAAGAAAGGCCTCCGCCGGGGTCAACACTCGCTGATTGGCAGACACCGCCCCAAGCTCCTCTTTTCCAATCTGCGCTTTCCTCCTCCCTCCACCATCCCCTCACGGCTCTCGTCTCGTGGATGCAGGCACAACCGGAATCCTGGGTTGCGCTTGCTGGCTGCAATTTATGCGTATGAACTCCATTTGCGTCGAACCTCTCGGCCCTTGGAGGGACCTCCCATCGCGGGAACATAGAGTGATGATCGGCGGTAGTTCATTCCAGCGATATTGATCGGCGATGAGAACTTAGAAGCGACGAGAAGGAACATCCTATTCCGTATTCCTAACCTCATCCAGACTTCCATGGACGAATTTCATTAATTGAGACATTCCACCATGCTCCGTACATGCATGCTAATTGGATCATCTCCCCGGCCGTCAGGCGGCCACTTGCCTCGAGTCCTCCTCTCCAGCTTCCAAGCAGCCACCCGACCTCACCATCTCACTCAGCGACTCTGGCACCTTGACACTTGACAGCGAAGTAATACAGTCGGTACCTATCCGTGTCTCCCTCCAAAACTCCACCACTGCATTTATAGGGTATGAGTGTATGACGCACGAATCTGTAACGGTATCGCTTGGAGTGTGACAGATCTGCACCTCATAGCCAGCCTCATCCCAGGTTCCAGCGGCTTGAGGGAATGAGGACAGACTTTCTCATCGAGACTCGAGGTTGAATCTGGTCCACAGGCCAATGTACGACCCGGCTCTATGCTCCACCACGCCGCTATCTATTTTATGCCTCCGGGCACGGCAGCCACGAGCTCCGTGCGACCGCGAGGATCCTGCGACAGTCCTGAAACGCCGTGATTTGCGACGTGGGTCCGCCTGGGTCCGCCTGAGCTAGGGCTTTGTTAATTCTTCCAACGTCACTTGGATTATTGCATACTTCGGTAATACCGTATTGCTGCGTCAGGGTGGGTTGGGGATCATGACATTGACTGGATGGCGGTGAGGTACATATGGTGACTGGTGAAGGACATCCTATGTCTAGTACTAGTCGCCAAGCCATATAGATGAATACAGCAGATTTTAGTAGGCTCGTAGGATGTTTGGTTTGGAAATACGTGAAACAGGGCACAGCGAACGTAAACGCCTAAGCACAGCAAGCAACATCCATTGTAGGAGATGTGGGTAAGCGTTTCGTTTCGCTCAACGTCACTGGACCGTCGTCTATGTTGTATCGATATTTGTTTGACCTAATGTCCTTCGTCCACGTCGCTCGATGAAACCACAAATAGTATGACAGGAAAACGACCATCGTGACCAAGAAGTATATCGCCACAGGTAATCAATTCCGATCTTCCGTGACATGTTCGACATCAACTGGCCACCATACACTTCCTGCTCCAAATCTCATCGTGACTTTCTTCCGCCGCATCCTGAATCCTGATCAGCCGAATGCGCATCACCTGTCCGGTTCTCCCGCAGCGGTGTTTCCAACCACGGTGACTCACCCGGGGTGCAATCGCGACGGTGCATGACGCAGATGATACTTTCGAATCACAGCCCCATTGATATTGGGTTGGGAGTTGGGACAGCCCCGACTCGTCTCTTCGCCCGCCGGATGGATCGGATCGGATGGCTTGCAACGACATTTATCCCTCTCCCCCAATCTCTCAATCGCCATCTCACCCATCCGCCTTCCCGATCGTCTCAAAAATCTTACTCTTCCAATCCAGCACTCACCCCTCCTCCTCCCTCTCCCTCTCACCTCTTCTCACCCACCCCTCCACCCCCCCAACCCTCTCCTCCCACTCCGCCCAGCACCCCCCTTGCGCAATCACAAAAGCCTCCTGCCACCGCCACACCACCTCCGCGCTCTCACGCCGGAGCTCCGCAACCTGCGCCGCCTGATCGATGAGGGTTGTCTGGGTCGCGGAGAGCTGCGGGGAGGCGGCGAGGAGGTGCGTGAGGGGGGAGGTGGAGGAGAGGAGCGGGAGGAGGGAGTGTAGGGAGTGTAGGGAGGAGCGGGTGGTGTGAATTAGGGGGGCATGGGAAAGGAGAGTGGTAAGTTGGGAGGGGAGGGGGGGGATGGTGGTTTCGGAGGTAGGAGACGGAGAGAAGAGGTCGGGAAAGCGGGATTCTATGTAATGAAGATATTAGTTTGACTAGTCTGGGTAGTTCGCTACGGCGGAGGGACATACTCAACCATATAATCTTCACTATATCCGGATGGCTCGAGTGGAGTTTTTGTGTCCCTTCTTCTAGCTTCTTGAGCCGTCGGGAGATCGTGGATTGCGGTGGAGAGGGAGCGTCGTCGCTGGTTGAGTCGGGTGAGGGGATACTTCCGTAGAGGAGGAATTCAAGACGCCGGAGACGCGATTCGAGGGAGGTGAGTGTGTGGATCGCGATGTCTTCTAGTGACGGCTCCATTGTCGGTGAGATTGCTTCGTGAACGTGTCGGTGTGGGATGGATGTCGTGGAGCTTTGGATGCGGGAGACTCAAGCTGTAGGCCTCTCCGACAGGTTTTTTGTTGGGTGTATGGCTCGAGGGGTCGAAGACAGTACGTGGCTGTTCGTATGTTCCGTTCCGATCGGGATTGAGCATTCGCATATTCGTCATATCAATTCAGAGACGGACGATGAAGGGGTAGTAAACATCAAAATCGACTCATGTGTACGCTATTCGGTATTTAAAATGACTCGTGTAAGACAATGAGAAAGTGACAAGCCAATCAGAGCTCGTTTATAATTTTTCCTCAGGCATCTCTTTATTTCACTTTCTGTGGATTTTCCAATGCGACTCCCTCTGATTGGCTGAATGAAATTTTTGCAGGTCACGTTACCTTTAAATCGAACCTGTCCAACCCTCACTTGGTGTCTTACTAAGTTTTTTAGCGCGCTATTTTATTGATTGTGTAATATATGAACCAATCATAATTGCTATGCAAGTCTACGCCTATTTCACGTTCTTGACAACAAAGTCAACCTCGTTTGAGTCGTTGCTCACTCAGCGACGACAAAGATACCTTAATGCGAAAGACACAAGCAGAGTATTTCATAGCTATCGCCTTATTCTCCTGCGAAACTAAAAGGATAGCATAAGGCCCTTTCATGGAATTGGATGCTCTACCCAGATAAATATATGTCACCATCTACAACCAATCCTTCGCGATCTTTTGACTCTGCTCTCCTACGCCCCTGAAGTCCACCGTTCATGTTCCCCTGACTTTCAGTACAGTCGTTAGTTTTCCGTCCCTTCTCCTACATCAATGTCATAGCAAGGTGTCTAGCTACTATTCTCCTGTATATCGTATTGTGCGTTTTCTCTTCAAGTCATATAGTAGTATGTTCTCCGCAATCTTATCTCGTGTCAACGTTGGATTGATCGCTTAGACTCCCCTTATTCCCATTCTCATGTTCCCGTTCTTCTTGACCTCCTTTGCTGCCCGCACCACCCTCACCTTCAGCGTTTCGACCTGGGGTCGCAAGCTGTCAATGATGCAAATACTTCCTGGCCACTCTTTGTTTATCATGCGCGGAGGCCAAGTTTTGTGCTCATCTGGCAAAGTCCTCCGAACCATTGCTCTACCTCATTCAATTCTTCGACTTTACAAAGACGTCATTCCGGGAAAGTCAACGTTCGTGTTCGAATATTTTACCGGTCATCTCCTCCAGCTTGCCCAGAAAGGGCTACCAATATCGACCACGAAGAAAACCCTGAAAGACGCACTTCTTGGGATTGCGGAATTACACGATCAAGAGATCATTCACACAGGCATGTTCTATCGCGTATATTCATTATAGGTAGCTAGTGATTCAGATATCAAAGTGGATAACGTGTTCATCGACTGGACGGAGCTTCCCGACGGTGGTATCAATATCGAAAAAGTCCAGCTCGCCGACTTGGAGGATGCCGCTCATCTTCCACCGAACACGGTGGTCATCGGAAAGCAAGCTGGAAACTAACTGTAGCGGGGACTTGAAGCCCATTCCTGTGGCCCGATCCACAAGCCGTCCGACGTCTTCTCATTTGCGATTGTCTTAAGTTGTCACACATCCTCCCATTCTGGAGGACCAGTTCATGAAAGCTGTTAGATGATCTACGCAGTTATGAAGCACGTTATTTTCGACGTCCCCGAGTCGGAGCTCGACGGCGGCAAAATTGAGCGACTGGTCGCGATCATCGGCTGCCAAATGTCATACTTTGGCCAGCTGGATAGTGTCAACGCGCTGATCGGAAAGCATCTCGATGCCGACAATCCGTACGGCCAGGTCTTCCAGATCCATCAGGATGGGTTTGGGAAAGATCACCCGAGAGCACCGATTCGAAAATGGTTTGACTTGGACGACGACTTCAAAGATCTAGTGGAGGGAAGGACGAATTTAAATCCGAACTTCCGAAGGGGATAATCACTGCACGGGCCCCTTCCAGGACTTTGAGGTGATTTCTAAGGCGATTCGATGGACACGTTAAGACGTGTATCTATCCGCTTGATGGTTTTCGGGAGATGGTATGGTAAGATTGTTCGAAAGTTAATCCATTGCGATTTTGCTCGGGAGCGATCTTGGGGGGACCGGAGCTGCAGAGGAAAATTTACAGCGACGTCGTTTGTCCGCTGGAAGAAGTTATTGACAAGCTAGAAGCGTTTTAAATGAATACAAGGAAGGTTCCGGTTCAAGTTGAGGTTGATGATTACACAAGGGTATGAATGAAAGCAGATATGACACCATGGGTCGTGTCCTTGAACGTCTATCTGATTGACTGATTCCAATCATGAGGCGGACATGAGAAGGGACGTGAACCCGTTCGCTGACCATTGATGCAAGAGGTTTAAAAATATTGACACTAATGCAAAATAAACCATACGCCATACCTTACAGTCACATTAAACGATGGCCCGTCTATCTCATTAATGAACGCTGGCCCAACATAGTGATATCCCCCAGGACAAGGTCTAATCAAGCTCGCGAACACACTCATGAAGCTCGACTACCTACCTGATCCCCTAATCTTGGACTACATATTGCCATCCCGATCCCATCCTTCGTAGTTCTAATTATGGTATTCCAAGTCATATAATTCCCGATCATTGCAATGGTCCTCCTCATGGTCGAGCTGACGCAGTAGTCTCCAGCTCGAAGTCTGACCATCCTCTCATCCTGAGGATCCAACAACATAGTTCGCTGCACTGTATCGCGTGCGGCAGCGCAGTCCAACAACACGCCAAGGCATCGGACCGCGGTGTCGAAGGGTTCAGGAGCGACTCTCTAGTCCCCGTACGCGGCGGCTGTGAGGTGAGCCAGTACATCACTTCGAGATTTCACTACATCGAACCAGGTGCCGATGTACTCGACCAGACTGCTAGCATACTTTCCAATTTGCCTCCACAAATCTCCTGGCATGTTCGTCGTGCTGTTCACCTTCCATGGCCGAGAAACTGCCCAGATGCGGCCGAATTTCCGGCCTTTACCATTCAGTCCGCGGTCGTCAGGGTTGAAGACAAACTAGCACTGAGTTCCACCCGACAGTCCTTTGACCTCCCTCACACTGATGATAAAATGCGGCGGGTTAACCTCAAGTCGCTGATGTACGCATCCTAAGAGATCCAGAACCAGGAGGCGGAAGTAGTTGGGGCTCGGGAGAGGGGTGTATTCGAACAAGACTGGTTGCTCTGCACTATTGCCGGTGAAAGTTGTGAAGTAGGTACTGGAGGTCCCGATTGATGAACAGTAGCCCTGCTCTTGCATATGATATGATTCCGCTAGAACGTTATGGTACGACGGCGTAAAGGCGAGCCGAGCAACTCTTCCGATCTCATCTGCTTGGACAGGAGCGCCTTACAAGCTGCTTTAACTTCTTCATCGTGATAATTAGGAAAGAAAATGACAGCAAAGAATCAGTCAGAAGATTCAACCTATAGAAACTGCTTAAACAAAAGCCAAATTTGTAACCGTTAGTATTCATATTCTGTCATGTTTGGGAAATTATCAGGAGATCGTCGCTCAACTCCTTCATTGTTCCGGAACCCAACCTACGAGATTGAAGACCTCAAAAATGAAAAAATCCTGTCCAATTGTTCAAAAAGAAAACAATATTACGAGACGATGAGCTGGGAGATTGGATAATATAAGGGGAAGGGAAGGTGAGTTTATTATTAGTACGGTAGTCTCCGTAATAGTCCGTACCCCTCAAGTACTAAACAGCGGGCCGAGGGCGTGTAGCGATAGTAAACCCCGTACAGCCATACGTACTCTATTTGTGGCTCATGGTATCGACCTCCGCTCGTTCCTGTCAGTTGCGACAAGTTGCGCCATCGGATTTGAGAACTGAGCCATCGTGTGACATACTTCCACACTTTCATATCCCTAGACTTGAAATCGGCCGAAATCGAAACGCCAATTCGACCCTACGAAGAGTTGTCTGCGATACGAAAGCCACTATCCTTCCTACATTCGATTCGATCGCTGCTGCGTGTCGAGTTCGTATTCCCAGCCTGGCTGTCACCCAGAGATACCGTATGCCTCCATTGGATCCCTAACACCACGCCCACTTGGGTAAACGGTTGAGAAGTCGTAATAAGATGGCGAGCTACGCTGCCATCAATTCCATGCCGGACGAATTGGAAGGGCGGCCAGGGAGTGCGGCATCGTCACGAGGGCGAAGGTAATGCGATGACATCGAAGAACGACTTGTCGGAACCAGTTAGGACTAATTCAATACAGACCAAGAAGAAGTACCAAATCGATGGGCTTTGCCGGGTCTGCGAGCTGGTCCAGTAGTGTCATCAACCTCGTGAACACAAGTAAGATACGGCCACTCGATCAGGAACCAGACACATCGTTAACCGGATTACAGTTGTCGGTGCCGGAGTCCTCGCCATGCCATCCGCCATGTCACATCTAGGGGTCACACTCGGCGTATTCGTGATAGTATGGTCGGCCCTGACCGCCGGATTTGGACTCTATCTCCAAACACGATGCGCACAATATCTCGACCGTGGGGCCGCGTCGTTCTTCGCCCTCTCACAGATCACATACCCGAACGCCGCCGTCATATTCGATGCGGCGATCGCGGTCAAATGCTTTGGCGTGGGTGTCAGCTATCTGATCATCATCGGAGATCTGATGCCTGGTGTGGTGAAGGGGTTTAGCGACAGTGCAGGAGACATCGGATATCTCGTCGATCGACATTTTTGGATTACTGCGTTCATGTATGAACAACATCGTATTCTATTGTATGTGGATGTGGCTGACGATGACAGGTTGATTGTTATACCCCTATCCTTCCTCCGACGACTCGATTCGTTGAAATATACCAGCGTTATCGCTTTAATATCCATCGGGTATCTCGTTATCTTGGTGGTAGCCCATTTTGTCAAGGGCGATACCTTTAAAGATCGGGGAGAGATTCATTATTTTGGGTGGAGTGGGCCGGTTGATGCCCTGGCCAGCTTTCCAGTCATCGTATTCGCATATACGTGCCACCAGAACGTAAGTTCTAGAAGACAATGTTCCCAGAAGAGATGCTGATGTTTCCAGATGTTCTCCATCCTGAATGAGATCGGGAACAACTCTCACTTCCGAACAGCGGGTGTTGTTGTTGCTAGCGCTGGCAGTTCATGTGCAACGTATATCCTCGTTGCATTGACTGGATACCTGTCTTATGGAAGCAACGTCAACGGCAACATTGTCAGCATGTGTAAGTACCCTCACAGGCCTCTTATTCAATCCTAATGAACGGTAGATCCACCTTCAATCTCCTCCACCATCGGCCGCGCCGCCATCGTCATCCTCGTCATGTTCTCCTACCCCCTCCAGGTCCACCCCTGCCGCGCCTCCCTCGACGCCGTCCTTCGCTGGCGCCCCTTCACCCCCTCCAAGACCTCCACCTACGAAAACTCCCCGTCCCGCAGCACCCTGATCATGAACAACCGCAACGCCGCGCAACCGAAAGTCGACCCTATATCCGACCTCCGCTTCGCCGCCCTCACCACCACCATCATCGTCTTCTCCTACATCGCCGCCATGACCGTCTCCTCGCTCGAGAAAGTCCTCGCCTACGTCGGCAGCACCGGCTCCACCAGCATTTCCTTCATCCTACCCGGGCTGTTTTACTATAAGATCAGCAGCCCCGATAGCCCCCAGCATCAGCGCCTGCTGAAAGGGAACGACGACGAGGAGTACGACGACGCCGAGGACGACGAGCTGAGCGGCGCCGGCATCATGAGCGCGAGCGGGATCCTAAGGATCAAGACGAAGACGTGGCGACGGGTGTTGCTGCGGCGGATGAGTTTGGCGTTGGCGATCTACGGGATAGTGGTCATGGTGGTCTGTCTGGGAACGAATTTCTTTTTCACGACCGCGGAGTGATCGGTAGACGATGCGACGTTTCCGTTGTTGGCGAAATAGCGGCAGCGAGGGTTCCTGGCGTACGACGGCGAACGGTTTCTCTAATCTCTTCGTGTAAATACATTTCTGCCCGGCGTTGGTGATATACAATTGGAATTGGTCTACTTTGCTTAGGGGATGCAACCCTCCTAAGGATCCCCATCCTTCGGACGTTTTCCGCTAGTCGGAGAATACGATTCTTTTGCTGCTCCACCACCCATCGTTCGGATCCTCCCGAGTTAGGGGTCGATGGGCTGCCTTAACTCCCAAGGCTGACATCACTTACGACTTAACGAGCTGTCATACGATTCCTCTCCACGACTTGATCACCCGGACCAACATAGATTTCAAACCGCATAACAAAAGTCTAGAATCCCTCCAGCCGCTTTGCCAGCGGAGTCCCTCCTCCTGACGCAAGGTAGCAGAGTAAGCATCATCCTCGTAGATTAATTGTATATTACCTCGCAACCCGGCCATATTCCCCACAAGGATTCATCTCTCCGACTACGCCCATACCATTTATCCATATTATATAGATCATGCGGCTTGGTCGGCCGTCGATTTCTAGTTTCGCGTTGACGGTTGCGAGTGCTTGATTTCCCCTCAGCGATCTGCGATGGCGCTGTGGATCTGAGATTCTGCAGTGGTGTTTCTCTCTTGGCATCCTGATATTAGGAATTAAGACGCACTGTTAAGAAGCCATGGTTTCTATGCGTGCGTGGTGTAGCTGGATGTTTGTGGGCGGAATTGTCGGTCTTGAAGTGATGGCAGTCCCTTTAATACGTGAGATATACCTCCTTCCGCCACTCCTACATACGCATCCTGCTGAACTCTCTTCAGCACGACGCACCCCCTCACGACCCAGCGACTCCCGCGACGACAAAGACCCCTTCAACCCCACCCTCCTCCCTGGCGTCGCCTCCGTCACCCAATCATCCCGCTGCAACATCCACGGCACGCCGACCTCCCTCCTCGCCGACCGACGCTTCAACTCCGATCTCCCGCCCGTGAAAGACGTCGTGCAATGCCAGGCAGCCTGCCGCGCGGTGTCGCAGTGCCAATCGTACGCGTTCACGCTAGGGGAAGCGCGGCAGAACTGCGTGTTCTACATGGCGCAGGCGGAGGGGAACGTGGTGCCGTTTCCGGCGGATATGGACTATGATGAGAGGGCGGGGTGGTGGTTTAGTGACAAGTATCCGTCGGAGAAGGTGGATTATTGTTATCGGAGGGCGAATGGGAGTGTTGGGAAGAGGGAGTAATTAGGATGGGGGACGAGGGTGTGATGAGATTGAACGGAAGTTGACTTGATTTAATGAATTGGATGAGACGTCGCACTGAAACATCCCGAAACGTCCCATCTCTTGTATCTGAGCGTTGCCGTCCCTTGGAATATCAATAATTCCGGAGTAGACACGACGCAGAATGCAGCAACCAGGCTTCATGCGTTCGAGGCATACCACCCATATGCCATCCACGGATTTTAAGCCAAACACCTCCCAATGATAACAGCGCGTAAACGAAATCATACAAGCCATTACTATTCGTATAACCCCAAACCCGGGGAATCACATCATCTATCAGAACGAAATCAGTCAATTCGGCCCCTGACAGTCCACCACCCTTCATCCGGTTCAACGAGAATCTTAATCTTTCTTTGGTGATGTCGCATCGAATGCCCGGAGCGCCTCAACGGAGAACACGTAGGTCATGTACGTTGGGAAAATCAGCCAAAGGCCACTATGAGAGGTCAGCATCTATCCACACTCTCGTCTATGTAGGGGCTTCATACTTTGGAATGGCCCAGATGAAGAACAGGGTGGCCGTGTCATTGTGACCGACGTTGCGGTAGCCCGAAAAATACTCGTTCAGCCCTTCAGGTGGTTAGTTAGGCATTGGTCCCCATGCATAATGAGTCGGGGGCGTACAATATAGCACCGACTTGCTCAACGTCATGACGCTGGTGCAGAGAGCCAAGAGCACCAACCCCCCTCCCGCTCTCCCCCCCACCCTGAGCGTCTGCAACCGCTCCAGCACCCCCACCGCCCCCTTCCTCGACCTCCCCGCCGACTCCGTCAACCGAAACAGATATACCAGATACACGATATACCCCAGCGTCTCCACCACATTCATCGAGCTCTGCGCTCCCGAAAACCCATTGTGCTCCTCCCACGCCGGAAACCCATAGATGTAATCCACCGTCGCATACAGCGTGTATGGGGACCAGATGGGCGCGTGCCACGCGCCGCCAGGCATCGTGTACGGCCGCCCCAGCATGTACCCGGTGTCCCAGATGACGATCGGCACGGAGACCAGCAGCCAGAGGACGGCGAGGAAGGGCGGCTGGTGCGCCCAGACGCCGGATTTTCGCGCCTTGGAGGAGGTGGTGAGGGCGTTGGATTTGGAGGGGGAGGACGTGGGGGAAGCGGAGAGGTTGGGGGGGGGAAATTGGCGGGGGTGGTTGCGCGTGGAGACCATGATGGAGGAGACGGGACGATGGGCTGGACAATGAGTGATGAATTAGGGTATTGAAGTTGGATTATTTCATTTATTGTTTTCTGTAGTACAGGTTTGATACCGTAGGGAATGGGGAGTTGGTGTTTATGTATCTCTCTCACTGATCCATAAGCGTGACTGGCGCGCAAGGGACGGAAGACGGTTGTTGTTGCTGCAGATGTTCAGCTTGACACGCGATTCGTAGGAGCGTACTGGGTACTACTACTAATACGTTACGTATTCGTAGATGATTTGAAGCGCATCGGAGGTTCGGCGTTTCCTGGTTGAAGCTTCCACAGCCTCCCAGTCCACAGCCTCCCAGTTAGAGAGTCATGAGTGCAGGTGCAGGTGTGGCACCAAGGCATAAAGGCACCAAGGCATAAAGGCACCAAGGCATATATTATAGCTTAGTCAGTTTCAGCCACCGGACATTAAACTGTGGCTGGGATATTAAAGACAACAGCACGTGACAGCCACTGGTCGGTGCGTCCTGGCAACAGTCCAGTGACTCCAGTCCGATCGCAACAAACACAGATGGGCCTCTCGGCATCAACATTGAACATTCAACCGACCGTCGCAACTTTCCGATGCGCATCCCCTCCACCACGAATAAGGTATAGTATTTGCCTTGCGATTGACACGATTCGACACGACCGACCGAACTCCGACTCACGACCATTACGATCCCCAGGAATATCCTCAGATTTTGGAACACGCCTTGAATGCACTCTGAGACATCCACGGCAGACTCACCACATTACGACTCACGGCCGCATTTCACAACAGAAGACCCAAGGACCAATACCCTCGGAGATTTTTCATAAGGCTTGAAACCCGATATTATTTGTAGGATTGGAATCTTGAGATCATCGACTTTCATAAGACCACCGAAACCATGGGAGATGACCTCCCATCGTCGCCAGCACCGGCTGGATTCGCGACGACGACGGAAGAGTTGGCATACTACAAATCGCAGTATGAGCAACTGGAACTCGAACTGCAAGATTTCCAGGCGTCAAGTCGCGAACTAGAAACAGAGCTCGAGAAAGATGTCGAAGCATCAGAGAAGAGGGAACGACAACTTCAGGAGAAGGTGGAGAATCTGGGATTTGAGGCCGAGGAATGGAAGGTGGGTTCCGTTTCTTATTATTGCGCTGTAATACCGGTGGATTGAGGAATAGTGACTGACAGCGGATGTAGACCAAGTACAAACAAGCCAAGAACGAAGCTGGTAATGCACAGAGCACGCTGCAAAAGGAGATCACATCACTACGGGATAGCAACCGAACAATGCAGTTCAAGTTAAGGGATATCGAAGTCGCAAACGATGACTACGAGCGCCAAGCACGGAACACGACATCCTCTTTGGAGGATCTCGAATCCAAGTACAACGTCTCGATCGAGCACGGTGTAATGTTGGAAGAGGAGATCAAAATCGGCGAGCAAGAGCGCGAGGGCCTACGCATCGAAAACCAACGCATCCGAGACGAGTTATCCGACCTTAAGATCGAGGCAGAAATCATCCAGGAGAAGCTGAGGTTAGCGGAGGCCAACATCGCACAAGGCCACCTTCGACAGCCATCTCGGACATTAGCCGTCGAGACTCTCCGATCACAGTCACCCATATCCGAATCAACATCTGCGACGACCGTATCCTCTCCCACGGTTTCCACCCCTCCCGCCACCAAATCAGAACCATCCACCCTCTCCGCAACCCCTCCGTCCCCTCCCCTCTCCGAATCCGCCGGACTCGCGCACGCCCCTGCCCCCGTCACCCCCGCGATATCCAAACCGCGCACCCGCGCCACCACCGGCGCCTCCGTCTCCCGCAAACCCGGCCTTCCCACCACCCGCACCCCCAGCCACATCCGTGGCCCCTCCATCGCCTCCACCACCTCCGCCACCCCCTCCTTCCGCCGCTCCGTCACCCAAAAACCCGCCCCTACCCCGCGCTCCCGCCCCTCTATCCCCGCACTCACCACCCACCCGGCCCCCTCCACCACCCTCCCCCGCTCCGGCTCCCTCCACCACATCCGCGCCCTCCGCGGCAAAATGGAAAAACTCGAGGCCCGCGTCCACTCTGCCCGCAGCAAACTCCCCGCCCCCACCGCCACCCCGCCCCGCGCTAGTCCCCGCGCCGGAATTGCCCGACCCGACTCCCTCCACCACCCTGCCTCCACCCCCTCCGTCCCCGCCACCGTCACCGTCCGCTCCTCCAAAAAACGCATCTCCTCCACCGCTAGTAGCCGCAACAGCGACATCGGCGTCAGCGGCCGCCGCAGCCTCGGCGGCGCGCGCACACCCGTGGGCGGGGAGCGCGGCGAACGAACAAGCCTCCTCGGCGGGTTCGCGGACGCCGGCGGCACGTATATCAGCGGCAGTCGGCCGAGCAGCCGGGCGAGCGTTGCGAGCAATGCGGGGGGGTTCGTGCGGCCGAGCAGTCGGGCGAGTATGAGTAATATTCGGGCGGGGGCGAGGACGCCGGTGGGGTTTTCCGGGGGAAGTGCGCAGGGGGCGGCGGGGATAATGAGGCCGAGGAGTAGTGTGTCGGGGACGTTTGCGCCGCCGAGCCTGAGTAGTTCGTTATCAGGGCATGCAGGCCAGCATGGGCATGGGCATGGGCATGGACACGGTCACAGTCACTCGGTCAGCCATTCGCTGAGTCGGTCGGTCAACGGCGCGGGGGTGGGAGATATCGAGGACGACGAGGAGGATGAGGATGCGAGCTTCGTGACGCCGGTGGCAAGGCGCACGACGCTGGACCGGGCGGTCGCGGCCGGCAGTGGGATTCCGACGCCGGCGGGATTGAAGAGGCAGAGTAAGGGAGGGGAGGGGAGGAGGCAGAGTGGGGTGGAGGGGGAGATGGGGCCGCCGGAGAGGAGGGGGCGGTTGAGTGGGGTGGGGGAGACGTATTGAACCATTGATTTGGTGGATAGGGGTATTGTGAGTTTATTGGCGTTCGATTGGATGGGGGGTGCATTGGTGGGTGTTCTGGGATGATTATGGGACGGAAGTCAAGTCGATTTTACTCGGGATGGAGTTCGTGGATGGATTGGCACTGGCGTTTGATCTGATGGCTTGGACATTCTATACCCGCATCTTATGGCTTATGGCTTACACGGACGGGACGTTCCGCTCGGTCCGGTCCAGGATACCCATTTCAGAATACATCATGATACTCATATTTCGGTCTGATACTCATGAAAGAGGCACTGCATGATGGTACGATGGCGGTGGGGAGTCGGAGAGCCGGAGCAGCGATTTGAGACTCTTGTTAACCTGAGATGTGAATATATCTACTGGAACAATAGTACTACTCAGGACTACAGTAGGAATATTGTCTGGCAGACCTTCCATTCCAGATGTGAAGAAAGTCCGATATTGACACGGTGACACCAAGTATTCCGAGCACGTGACCGCTGTTGACAACACTCTACAAACTTCTCCAAGCCTCTCATCTCGACCTCGTCCGTCACCATTATATATCCAACGAAGAACTCCTACGAACGATTACCTACTCGAACATTTATAAGTCATAACCACATCTATTGTCCAACCCTATCCGTGGTCGCTCCCCAACAACCCAGCCCACATCGGGCATCCCCCCCTGTCCACCTAACGGAGGCGGAGTCCGATGTTCAGCGCCGGGATCCCGCAGCGGAGAGCCGATCGCTGGGATCCATCTATCTCTATTCTTGATCCTTGTTCTGGGTGCTTACTGGGGTTGGTTTATTGCGGGAGTTTTAGAGATGGGCTTTCGGTGGCGGTCCAGGCAGATTTGCTGTAGAGGCTTGAGGATTGGAGATTAGTGTTATTGTGAGGTTATAGTTCAACGGAGGGAATGCGAATGGGGTCGTGGTTTGTGGTTGGGACGGTTGACATTTTATGAGGCGAGATCCTGGTGAAAATCGTGGCGCTAGGGAAACGGTCCCTGGTGGAGATGGGGAACGGAGTGCAGAACAGAGCAGAGCGAAAAGAGGAAGGAGCCTCCCGACTTAAACATGGACCGTCATGGTCACGTCTTGATATCAATAGAGGATATTATTCTGCTAACGATCAATCCCAGGTCCAATCGAAAACCTCAATATTTCGAGAGCCGAGAGAGGGAGAGAGAGAGAGAGTGGGCACCCAACTTCGCTGGTCTGGGATATCGGATTATTTTAAGCACTCCACAACCCGACCCGATGTACCACGGAGGCGAGATCGCCTTACTCTCCGACTCGCAGCGCTGGCGATGTCCAATGGCGAGAGACAGTTGGTCATCGATCTGCCAGGTTAGTTATGATAATTCCTGCGGTGGTGTTCCAGTGGTTGTGGAGGCTGTCGAGACGGGTTCCGTGGACGGGGATCGACAACTGCATGGGGAGTTTTCAGGCCAGACTGTTCTGTGTTGCTGTGGCATATCCGACGCTGGCTGAGAAACCCCAATGTTACATATTTGGCGACTATTGCACTGTCCCTGAGAGATGTTGGACAGTGACTGATTTGCTGTCGACGATGGACAGAAGTCAATTGCAGCCATGGATCATGATCTCACAGCTCCAGGGCTCCCATGTCGGTGGGACTGGGGCCTGCTCTTCCACGACATGCTCCGTTGCTGTCACTGCTCCTCCGCTCCGTACTCCGTAAAGTGATGAATGTAGAATAAATGCACGATGGGATGAATGGCCTACAAATATCGGCTCTCCCCATCTTCCGCGCCCCCGTAGTCCTTCAAGATTCTCGGATTCGATTCCTTTGCTAAAGAAAACGTTGGATGGACGGTCATGCGAATCGATCGGACCTAATTATCCCCTCCCCACCTTAATCCTCATTAGAGAATTCTATCTCCCGTACCTTGCAGACATTACCGCACCGGCTCTCGGGGACCGATCCTCCAACACCTCCCCGTGTGTATTCGCAATCGTCACCAATCCAATAATAATCTTTAAAATCCGAAGCGACAAGACACAGCTTTGAATTCTTCATTAATCTGCCTCATTCGCATCGAAGCGGGTATTCATGGGAAATTGAGGAAGACTGAGAAAGTTGTTAGAAGAGACAACGTCACTCCTTGAATCCGGAGCTGGCAACCAGACGCTACCACCAACTTTTTTTACCCCCGAGTCCGTACTTCCGCATCTTCCCCCAACCATCCTCCGAACCACTATTGAATTACCATTCCTCTTTCTCCAATTCGCAAATCCTCTTCCTACAATTCTCATCCTCAACCTAATTCATACCCTTCTTTCAATCCCCTCACTCAATCTCTCCATTGCTCTTCACCTATACACACCTACAATCCTCTGAATATCAGATTTCCCCAATTTGTCTACACTCCTTCTCCGACCTGAGCATCACCATCCTCTACACCGCCCGTAATGGGCTTACCCGCAACCACTTCCGACACCATGGCGAAAGAAAACGGCTATGCGAACGGCTTCCCGTCGTCCTATGCTGCAAAGCATAACCTTCACTCGCACTTCATCGGAGGCAATCACTTGGGCGCCGCCTCCTCCAGCAAGGTCAAGGACTTTGTCGCCGCACACGACGGCCACACCGTCATCACGAATGTAAGTAACATTCCGCCTCTTCCGGGCGAGCTGCGCTGCATGCACTCCGTGGCGATCAGCTCCGGTGGTGGTACTGAGCACCGAAACGAGTTTTGTGTGCAACAGACGAGAACCAGCGAGACGAGATCGCTGACACGACCCCTACTCTAGGTCCTCATCGCAAATAACGGGATCGCAGCGGTCAAGGAGATCCGATCGGTACGAAAATGGGCGTACGAAACATTCGGCGACGAGCGCGCCATTCAGTTCACCGTCATGGCCACGCCGGAGGATCTGCAGGCCAATGCGGACTACATCCGGATGGCGGATCAGTACGTCGAGGTGCCGGGTGGGACAAATAACAACAATTATGCCAACGTCGAATTGATCGTGGATGTGGCGGAGCGAATGGGTGTTCATGCGGTGTGGGCTGGATGGTAAGCAACTCCATCATGCACCATTGCAAAATGGTGCTGGACTATTGATATTGATATCGGAACGGGAACATCGATCGCTAACGTATCTATTTCAGGGGCCACGCATCCGAGAACCCCAAACTCCCCGAATCTCTCGCCGCCTCCCCCCACAAAATCGTCTTCATCGGCCCTCCAGGCTCAGCCATGCGCTCCCTCGGCGATAAAATCTCTTCCACCATCGTCGCACAACATGCCAAAGTCCCATGCATACCGTGGTCCGGCACCGGCGTTGATCAAGTGCACGTCGGCGACAACGGCATCGTCACCGTCGACGAGCACATCTACAACAAGGGCTGCGTCACCTCGCCCGAAGAGGGGCTCGAAGCCGCGAAGAAGATCGGGTTCCCCGTCATGGTGAAAGCGTCCGAGGGCGGCGGCGGGAAGGGGATCCGAAAAGTCGACGACGAGGAGGAGTTCGTGCAGCTGTACAAGGCGGCCGCGGCGGAGATCCCTGGCAGCCCGATTTTCATCATGAAATTGGCGGGCAATGCGCGCCATCTGGAGGTGCAGTTGTTGGCGGATCAGTACGGGAACAATATCTCGATCTTCGGACGTGATTGTTCCGTGCAGAGACGGCATCAAAAGATCATTGAGGAGGCGCCGGTGACGGTGGCGAACTCGGCGACGTTCGAGGCGATGGAGAGGTCGGCGGTTTCGCTGGGCAAGCTGGTCGGTTATGTCTCCGCAGGAACCGTGGAGTATCTCTATTCGCACTCCGACGACAAGTTCTACTTCCTCGAGTTGAATCCGAGGTTGCAGGTCGAGCATCCGACCACAGAGATGGTTTCAGGCGTCAACCTTCCTGCCGCGCAGCTCCAGATCGCCATGGGTCTCCCATTGCACCGCATCCGAGATATTCGTCTCCTCTATGGTGCCGACCCCAAATACAGCACCCCGATCGACTTCGATTTCTCCACCGAGGAGTCCTCCAAGGCCCAGCGCAAACCGAAGCCAAAGGGCCACTGCACCGCATGCCGCATCACATCTGAAGATCCCGGCGAGGGCTTCAAGCCATCCAGCGGAACGATGCACGATCTGAACTTCCGCTCCAGCTCCAATGTTTGGGGCTACTTCTCCGTCAGCTCCGGCTCCGGCATCCACAGTTTCTCCGACAGTCAGTTCGGCCATATTTTCGCGTACGGCGAGAACCGAACGGCGTCACGGAAACACATGGTCGTCGCGCTCAAGGAACTGAGCATTCGCGGCGACTTCCGGACTACGGTCGAGTACCTCATCAAGCTGCTCGAGACGCCGGCATTCGAAGATAACACGATCACGACCGGCTGGTTGGATGAGCTGATTCAGAAGAAACTGACCGCCGAGCGGCCGGACCCGATGGTTGCCGTCATCTGCGGCGCGGTCACGAAAGCGTATGCGGCGAGCGAGGCATGCATGACGGAGTACCACACCAGCTTGGAGAAGGGGCAGGTACCGTCCAAGGATGTGCTGAAAACCGTTTTCCCGGTCGACTTCATCTACGAGGACTATCGGTACAAGTTCACATCCACCCGATCGAGCCATGACAGCTTCACGCTGTTCATCAACGGCTCCAAATGCGCCGTGGGGGTTCGTGCGCTCGTGGACGGCGGCCTGCTGATCCTGCTGAACGGGAAGAGCCACAACGTCTACTGGAAGGAGGAAGTCGGGGCGACGCGTCTCAGCGTCGACTCCAAGACCTGCTTGTTGGAGCAGGAGAACGACCCGACGCAGCTCCGTACTCCGTCCCCCGGGAAGCTCGTCAAGTTTACCGTTGAGAACGGTGACCACATCAAGAAGGGCCAGCCATTCGCGGAAGTCGAGGTCATGAAGATGTACATGCCGTTGATCGCACAGGAGGACGGTGTGGTCAACCTCATCAAGCAACCCGGAGCGACGCTGGAGGCCGGCGATATCCTGGGCATCCTCGCGCTCGACGACCCGACGAAAGTTAAGTCCGCACAGCCGTTCGTTGGCCAGTTACCGGACCTTGGACCGCCCGTCCGCCTGGGCAACAAGCCTCCTCAACGGTTCGCCTACCTTTCGGGCGTGCTCAACAACATCTTCATGGGCTACGACAACCAGGTGATCATGCAGTCGACGCTCAAGGAGTTCGTGGAAGTGCTCCGGAACCAAGAGCTGCCGTACGGCGAGTGGAATGCGCAGGCGTCCGCCCTGCACTCCCGCATGCCGCAGAAGCTCGATGCGCAGCTCAACCAGATCGTAGAGCGTGCGCACAGCAGGAACAGTGAGTTCCCGGCGAAGCAGCTGCAGAAGGCATACAATCGGTTCTTGGACGACAACGTCGCTGCGGCCGATACCGGGGTTCTGACATCGGCACTGGAACCGCTCATTGAAATCATGAACAACTACACCGAGGGGCTGAAGGTCCACGAATACGAGTCCATGATCCGGCTTCTCGAGAAATACTACGAGGTGGAGAAACTCTTCGCCATGCGTGTCACGCGCGACGAAGAGGTGATCCTCAAGCTCCGCGACGAGAACAAGACCAACATCTTGAACGTGGTGGAGATCGCCCTCTCCCACTCCCGTGTCACCGCGAAGAACAACCTGGTCGTCGCCATCCTCGACATGTACCGCCCCAACCGCCCCGGCGTCGGCAACGTCGCCAACTACTTCAAGGACATCCTCCGGAAGCTCACCGAACTGGAAAACCGCAGCACCGCGAAGGTCGCGCTGAAGTCCCGCGAGGTGCTGATCCAGTGCGCCATGCCCAGCCTCGAGGAGCGCTCCGCCCAGATGGAACATATCCTCCGCACCTCCGTCGTCGAGTCGCGATACGGTGAGACCAACTGGGATCACCGTAAGCCGGACCTCGACGCCATCAAGGAGGTCATCGACAGCCGGTACACCGTGTTCGACGTCATCCCGCAGTTCTTCGTGCACCAGGATCCATGGGTCGCGCTCGCTGCGCTGGAGGTGTATATCCGCCGCGCCTATCGCGCGTATCAGCTCAACGAGATCCAATACCACTTCGACGGGGAAGCGCCGTACGTGATCTCATGGGAGTTCGCGCTGCGCAAAGTCGGCGGCGAGTTCGGGCTGCCGCTGGAGAGCGCGTTCCCGAGCACCCCCGGCACGCCGGCGACACCGCTGGAGGGGTTCATGAAGAAGCACCACTCCATCAGCGATATGACGTACTTCACCGACCGGACGGAGGTGCAGCCCACGCGAATGGGCGCGGTCGTGCCGGTGGAGTTCATCGACGATGCGGAGGAACACCTGGCGCGCGCGCTGGAGTGCTTCCCGCTGACCGGCAAGTCGGACGGGAAGCGGGTGGAGAAGGGGCTGATCGCGACGCTCAGCAGCAAGAGGAAGCCGACGTCCAGCCCCCCCCAGAAGTCCGCCCGGGACGACTTGACCGCCGTGTGCAACGTCGCGATCAAGGACGCAGAGAGCTTGGACGACAAGGAGATCCTCGAGCGCATCTATCCGATCGTCAAGGACTACAAGGAGGATCTGCTCGCGCGCAGCGTCCGTCGGCTGACGTTCATCTGCGGTCACGGAGACGGAACGTATCCGGGCTACTACACTTTCCGTGGACCCGAGTACGAGGAAGACGCGTCCATCCGCCACGTGGAGCCGGCGTTGGCATTCCAGCTCGAGCTGGGCCGTCTGAGCAAATTCCACATCCGCCCCGTGTTCACGGAGAACCGAAACATCCACATCTACGAAGCGGTGGGCAAGGACGCGCCGCAAGACAAGCGGTACTTCACCCGTGCGGTGGTGCGACCCGGGCGCCTGCGCGAAGACATCCCGACCGCACAATACCTCGCCAGCGAGGCGGACCGCATGTTCGGGGACATCTTCGACGCACTCGAGATCATCGGCAACAACAACTCGGACATGAACCATATTTACATCAACTTCGGCACCGTGTTTCCGCTGTCCGCCGAGGAGGTGCAGGACGCCATCGCGCCGTTCATTGAGCGCTTCGGGCTGCGCTTCTGGAGGCTGCGGTGCACGCAGGCGGAGATCCGCATCATCTGCACGGACGCCGAGACCGGTGTGCCATACCCGCTGCGCATCGTCGTGTCCAACACCTCGGGCTACATCGTCCAGGTCGACCTGTACGCGGAGCGCAAGTCCGACCGCGGCACCGACTGGGTGTTCCAGTCAATCAGCGGGACGAACAAGCTCGGCCCGATGCACCTGCAGCCGGTCAACGCGCCGTACCCGACCAAGGGCGCGCTACAGCCGAAGCGGTACAAGGCGCACATCATGGGCACGCAGTACGTGTACGATTTCCCGGAGCTGTTCCGGCAGGCGATCGAGAACGACTGGGTGGAGGTGATCAAGCACCACGCGCACCTGAAGGACAAGCAGCCGCTCAAGGGCGAGTGCATCGAGTACAGCGAGCTAGTGCTGGACGACTCGGACAACCTGATCGAGCTGAACCGCGAGCCGGGGAACAACCACGTCGGCATGGTCGGCTGGCTCGTCACGGCCAAAACGCCTGAATACCCGCGCGGCCGCCGCTTTGTCATCGTCGCCAACGACATCACGTTCAAGATCGGCTCGTTCGGCCCCGCGGAAGACAAATTCTTCCACAAGTGCTCGGAGCTGGCGCGCAAGCTCGGCATCCCGCGGATCTACCTCTCCGCTAACTCCGGGGCGCGCCTTGGCATGGCGGAGGAGCTGATCCCCCATTTCAGCGTGGCGTGGAACGACGCGAGCCGGCCCGAGAAGGGGTTCCGGTATTTGTATTTGACGCCGGAGAAGAAGCAGCGGTTCGAGGATGGGAATCGGAAGGATGTGACCACGGAGAAGATCGTGGAGGATGGGGAGGTGAGGCATAAGGTCGTTACGGTGGTGGGTGCGGAGGATGGGTTGGGGGTAGAGTGCTTGAAGGGGTCGGGCACGATTGCAGGAGAGACGAGCAGGGCGTACGAGGATATCTTCACGATCACGTTGGTGACGTGCCGAAGCATTGGTGAGTTTCATTTCCTAACCTTGATTTGTGGTACGGTGATTAACATTCCCCAGGTATCGGAGCCTACCTCGTCCGCCTCGGCCAGCGCGCCATCCAAATCGAAGGCCAACCCATCATCCTCACCGGCGCCGGCGCGCTCAACAAGCTGCTCGGCCGCGAAGTGTACACATCCAACCTCCAGCTTGGCGGCACACAAATCATGTACAAGAACGGCGTGTCGCACATGACGGCGAACGACGACTTCGAGGGCGTCTGCCGCATCGTCAAATGGATGTCCTTCGTCCCCGACAAGAAAAACAACCCCGTACCCATCTCCCCCACCAGCGACGACTGGGACCGCGAGATCGCCTACTTCCCGCCCCAGCGCGCTCCGTACGATGTGCGATGGCTCATCGGCGGGAAAGAGGAGGACGGCGGCTTCTTGGGCGGTCTGTTTGACCGCGGGTCATTCGAAGAAGCGCTCGGCGGATGGGCGCGCACGGTGGTGATCGGCCGGGCACGACTTGGCGGCATCCCCATCGGGGTGATCGGTGTGGAGACGCGGACGGTGGAGAACGTGACGCCAGCAGACCCGGCGAACCCCGACTCGATCGAACAGGTGACGTCGGAGGCGGGCGGGGTGTGGTATCCCAACAGCGCGTTCAAGACGGCGCAGGCGATCCGGGACTTCAACCACGGCGAGCAGCTGCCACTGATGATCCTGGCCAACTGGCGCGGGTTCAGCGGCGGGCAGCGGGACATGTACAACGAGGTGCTGAAGTACGGGAGCCATATCGTAGATGCGCTCGTCAAGTACGAGCAGCCGGTGTTCGTGTATATCCCACCGTTTGGGGAGTTGCGAGGCGGCTCTTGGGTAAGCTCCTTATTGGATTCCTTCTATTAGACTGGTCCGTGCTAACATTCGATTCAGGTCGTCGTCGATCCTACGATCAACCCTGCGTACATGGAAATGTACGCCGACACCGATGCCCGCGGCGGCGTCCTCGAGCCCGAGGGCATCGTCGGCATCAAATTCCGCAAAGACCGCCAACTTGAGACGATGGCGCGCCTCGACCCCACGTACGGGGAGCTGAAGCGCAAATCGGCCGCGCCGAACCTCAGCCGCGAGGACGCCGCGAAGATCAAGGAGCAGATGACGGCGCGCGAGACGCTTCTCCTCCCGATCTACCACCAGATCGCGCTACAGTTTGCAGACCTGCACGACCGATCCGGGCGGATGAAGGCGAAGGACACCATCCGCAGCGAGCTGTCGTGGGCGCAGGCGCGGCGGTACTTCTACTGGCGTCTACGTCGCAGGCTGAACGAGGAGTACGTGCTCAAGCGGATGGCAGCGGCGGAGGGGAAGGAGGTAGCAGGGACGTCGCGGGGGCGAAAGCTGGAGACGCTGCGAGCGTGGAGCGGGGTGGAGCGGTTCGAGGAGGACGATATGGCGGTGGCGCTGTGGTACGAGGAGCATCGGAAAGAGGTGCACGCGAAGATCGAGGCGGCGAAGCGGGAGGCGGTGGCGGGGGATGTGGCGGGGTTGATGCGGAGGGATATGGAGGCGGGGTTGAAGGGGGTGCGGACGGTGTTGGGGATGTTGCCGGTGGGGGAGCGGGAGGAGATTCTGAAGATGTTGCAGAAGGCGTGAGGTGGAGATGGAGGCGTGATGTTGATGTCCTGATATTTCATTATGGATTGGCGAGAGTATGGTGTATGCTGGTCATTTTCTTCCAAAGGCATTCCACCATTCTCTGGTCGTGGGCTTTTAGGAGTTGGTACGGAGCATTGTAGATACAGTCCCGCGCAGCACATTAGAGTTTATAATGCATTTCCTGCTCATTTCTACTCTTGCTTTCCACAGCCAGTGCCTCATCACAGAATCTCTCCTCTGCCATCTGGCTATCCCCTTTGAAATGTAGTCACGTGCTAGCGCGTCTCTCGTCTCGACTTGCCGCATATACATATATCGAGTGATCGTCTCGTATATCGTAGGATTCGCTGTCCTCGAAGCTAAGTACATAATAATATCATTCCAACGATTCAATTGCCATACGTACATCTATTAGCAATTCCGTGTTTTACCGGTCCCCGGCCGTGATTCTCCATGCTTCCACAGCCGAGTGAAGACCCCTTTGCCCCCACGAGTCTCCAACGAATCGAGCAATGGATCAACGCCGCAACAGGAACCTGGAATATAAACGGCAAGTAGAGGCGACCATTCCGACTTCCACCCGTCTCTCCGGCCTCCACGACGCGGGTAGGTAATTCTTAGTGTATCGGTGTGTCCCTCTCCACTCTGACGTTCCGTATCTCATCATCTCCATCATCCCCCGACGAACGATGTTTAGGTGCGTGCAAATATGCGGTTAGGCTGGAGAAGTGAACACGAAGGGGAACCACGTCAACCTAGTGAAGTGACGGTGCTTCAGATTCCAATACCGATGATTTCCTTGATGACGGAAGTTTGATGGTTCCTTTGCGTTGTATGGTGTTTCGCGCTTTAGACGTTGTCTCTCTCCAAGTCTGCACATGACCATCTACTTTGTGTCTTGATGCCACCGACTTTTCACCACAAGTCACAGCCGGTTTCTTGTGCTCAGCTTAAGATGGCATTTGCATAAAGGCATTTGCCGGTGCTGTGTCTCATTCATCAAACGACGTTCATCAGATTTGATACTTCACCATCTATTCCACCTCTCAGTCTCCACCCCTCTCTCTCTTACATATACCACCCTCAATCTCTTGCGACGTCACCAACTTATCAGATCCAGCGAGTTCACCACCTGATCCTCTCACTAAATGACATCCCGAGCAGAACGACTCAAACAAATGCTTCGTACAGAAGTGGAGCCCGTTCCGGATCTTCCACCTGACGAAAGCGCCTCCGAAACTGAAGAGGGAGCCGCATCGACAACTGCCCTGGAGTCTGGAGCTAATTCTGGCAATTCTTACCCTAACTCTAAGATTCCGCGTGCTGATGACGACTTGGCTACTGATGAAAGTGAGCATGTGAAGAGCACCGTTAGAGACTCTACCTATTCTGCAGTTTCGAGCAATGTCACCGATGGCAATTCTACCGTTCTTCCTATCCGAGTAGCACCGTCACTGACGAATCTGGAGGACGAACAAGGGGAAACGGTCATTTCGCCAGAGGAAGAGAGACAATTCATCGATGATGTGAAGGCGGGGGCTGACGTCTACGATATCGGCAAACACCCCAAAGACGAAAACGATTCCGTGGACGATTACGTGTTCGAAATCCAGTCCGCCAAGTCCGAAGACCTGCAGGACATGAACGTGGAATCTGGGGACGAAAATCAATCCCTTGACGCCACCATCAGGGACGCAACCGGAAAGAAAGTTTGGACTCGTGGAGACCTCTCTGCACCAGGGGAGGAGTTTGTGCCGATTGTCGCGGCAGCGAAGTTTCCATACAAGTTTGCCCCCAAAGAGCACTCGGAGAAGATTGCGGATCGCTTCTTTAATGCAGGGAAATTCCATGAGAGGCCTTGGGAAGTGTAAGTGATTGTCCAATTCACTCTCATTGTACCTTCAGGTCTCAGGCAGCCACAGCCTGAGTCGTTCGTATTGACCCTTCTGTCACTCATTATTAACTGCTCGATCCACTTAGGTTTTATCTGTGGCATCCCCACACGTACAACGCTCTCTTGCTGATTCCTGCAACGCAATTCATCGCTTTACTGAAGGAAATTCAGAAAGCTTTTCCTGAGATCAAAATCGGTGCGGTTGCGTACTGGCGTGAGATCGGCCTCTTCTACGAATTTCCTGCAAACCACAACTGTCTCCCACGGTACCTTGGCAAGTGTAAATCGAAAGACCACCTCAATATCATGGAATCCGGTGCACCTCCTCCTACCTACCGTGGCCCGGGGGAGAAGAAACTCCCCGACCCTGGCAAGGGTACCTTTGAAGAGTTCAAGCGGATGTATGACGACGCGGTGGAAATGGGGAAGAATAAGAGCAAGGCGCAGAAGGCTAGGAAGCGAGCAGAACGTGTTCAGCAGCAGAGCCTTTGGGGCAGTCAGCTGAAACGAGCCCAATGTTATTTGGGGCTTCTTCCCAGGAACCAGCCGCAAGGTAGGCTTTGAAAGTCCGATTTCTCCTCACCAAACTTGAGGCTAACATGAACAAAGACATACTGCATCCTTCTTACCTACAACAGGTGGATAGCACGCCGGGACCTATCGATCCCGATAAGCCTGCTCCTTACCGTTTCGATCAACGAATCATCATCGTCTGTGTGGATATCGAATCCTACGAGCGAGATCACAGTAAGATCACCGAAATAGGTATCGCCACGCTAGATACCTATGATCTGGTTCTCCCTGGCAATGCGGTTCCTGGCCCCGAAGGCCAAAACTGGCGCAACCACATTCGAGCTCGACATTTTCTGATCAAGGATCATAAGCATCTTGTCAACCATGAGTTCGTCGGTGGCTGCCCTGACAAGTTCCGTTTCGGTGAGACCGAAGTCATCTCCCTCGCCGACGCACCCAAAGCCATCGCGTCGTGCTTCAAGGAACCGTACTCCGCTGGAATCAACATCGGGGTTGATAAGATCTTGCGAAATCAGGCAAATGAAGCGCCTGCATCCACACCCGTGTCCCAGCCAACCCTCCCTGAGGGTAGCCCGAATACCAAAGTCGTTATCCTAGGACACGATATCAAGAACGACCTCGAATACCTCCAGCGTATCGGCTATAACCCGCTCAATCTCGGCAACCGGATCCTCGAGATCATGGACACCATCCCGCTCTGGAAGGCCCACACCCGCGACCCCCGCGGCCAAGGCCTCGCTAGCTGCCTTGTGGAAGTCCAGATCGCCGCCTGGCATCTCCATAACGCTGGCAACGACGCCGTCTACACCCTGCAGCTCTTCCTCGGCGTGGCCGTCCGCGAAGCCGCCGGCCGGAAATCCAACCCGGCCGTCCGCACCATCGTCGACGACGACCCATCCGACGGCGGCAAGGCACCCCGCGACCAGTCCGGCCTATCCAATGCATTAGCCGCCGTGTCGCTGCAGGATGCAGAGCCCCTGGGGCTCAACGAATCCCAGCTCGACAAATGGCGGCGCGAACGATCGGCGGCGCGGCTCGAGTCGCAGATGTCAGAGCTGGTGGAGCGGGCGAAGGAGGAGGCGGAAGGGTGGAATGACGGGGCGGGGACGAAGGATGGCGGGGAAGCGGGGCCGAAGGAGATGCGGGAATATACGCTGCATTCGATGCGAGTGGAGGCGCAGATGAGGGGGCAGGAGGCGGGTGGGGGGATTGAG